GGCTGTCAATGGCTGCCACAGAGATTGTTCCTGAATATGCTTCAAGGGCGGCCGACACCTGCTGAACAGGGATATTACCCACGACCAGCATCTTGCCTCCAGTGACCTTAGCCTGTAGCCTGCTCCTGTGATAGATGATTTGGACAGCATCCGCCAAGGAGATCAAGCCAGAACAATGGGCCGCAGCCACCTCTCCAACGGAATAGCCCACAGTGGCAACAGGCTTAATTCCCCAGTGCTGCAGAAGCTCCATCAAGCCCACCTGGAGCATGAAGAGTGAAGTCCAGCATTTTCTTGCTCACTGTGCTCAACCAGATGCATCTAGGGTACTGTTCTTGTGCCATTGTTTCCCTACAATTGGTATTTGGAGACATACTAATTTTCAACCCAGACGTAGCCATCGTGATCACAGAATAGTGACTGATAGAACTTTAGGTTGTGTTCAGTTCTTTTAACACATCTTCTATACTATTGAGTATAGATGTTCTTGAGAAACCTCTTTGCCAGTCCTACAAAAAGCCCAAAAGGGAGTGCATGAACAATAAACTCCCCAGTAAGCTGAAGTTTTATTTCAGCTTCATGTATATAAGGCTTTTGTTGAGACTTGGCAGATTTTTCCTCTTCAGTGAAAACTTCCAGAGTCGCTGGGAGTCAGGTAGCATATACATTTAATAAGTTATTATTATTAAAATATTCAAATATGTTGCTTTTGAGATCTGAAGAGTTACACTAAAATCTAACTGGGCTGGAAATATAGTTCTGATTTTATTGCCTGATATCCAGAAATGTGTTTCTAACTATTAAACCATATTTAAAGTATCACAGATTTTAAAAAAATAGGAATCACATTTGAAAACCATTAGCAGTTACTGCTAATTTGGAAATATGTGTTACGGTGTAGACCAGGGTTTCTCAACCTTGGCAACTTAAAGATCTGTGGACTTCAACTTCCAGAATTCCCCAGCCAGCATAGGCTCACTGGGGAATTCTGGGAATTGAAGTCCACGCATCTTAAAGTTGCCAAGGTTGAGAAACCCTGGTGTAGACTATAATTTTTCGCATATTTGGCAGCAACAGCTCTGTGGAGGCAGCTATGAATTCCTTTATGATTATGCAATGAAAGTTATATAATAATTCTGAGATGATGGGAGAGGGGCCAGTCTCTGTTATGCAACTGGAGTGTTTTCATGGCAACTCTTGCCAGACAACAAACCTAGTCAACAACTGAAGTCAGGGAACATTTGGGGATTTTTGCTTTCCCTTCCTTTTTATTTTCCTCTTATTTTACTGAAGAAAGTGATTTTTACTAGTTTTTTTTAAAAAGAATATATGTATGTATGTATGTATGTATGAGTGAAATACATTCAAAGAAAAATGTAGTAAAGTAAATGTGAAAAATAAGAAAAAAGGAAAAGAAGAGACAAAGAAAAAAGGAGATAGAGAAAAGAGAAAGAAAATAAAAGGACAGAAAACATTAAAAAAAAAAGAAGTGGTTTCCGATCTTCCTCTTGGCAGTTATACATACAATTTTAATCAAACCTAAGATTGAAGAAAGTGATTTGTATTAAACAAGAGATGGCTGTATTCTTCTAGATCATATGTGTGCACAAAATTGATAGCCCAGCAAAGTGGCAACATCTGGCCAGCCTTGGCTCTTCTAGAAAACTAAGAAGGCTAGATGGGGGACCGGTCAGGGTTAGGAAACTCGGAAAATTTTAAAATCTCCCCCCCCAAAAAACACTTGCATATCATACCTACAACACTGCATGAATATATCCATGTAAGTTACCAGCTGACCTTGACTTGAAATCGTACTCTTTAAAAAATAGATGTGATGTTTTGTGCGGATATCCAAGTAAGTTTGTGTAGAGTATAAGCTGCAACAAAGTGTCTCATTCAGATCTCATTTTCTATTTTCTTCAGAAGTAATATTAAATATTATACAGTAGTAGTATTAAATATTAATCCTTGGGAAACACACTCATTTCCTCCCATGTTCGAATAGCAGTCTGGGACCTAGAGGCTATCTAAACCAGTCCATGTCATTCATAACTCAGTGGGTCCAGAAAACTGAGTTGAGTAAACTAAGGTTAACTATAGGTAAGATTACCATATGAACCCAACCAATTTCAGCACCATGATCAAGTACAATTTCAAGATCCTTTTTATAACTACTATAGTAAATTATTCCCTATTATACAACTGTACTGTTCTACCATTATTTTAGTGTCAAGCTTGAGGGCTTTCTGGAACCAACTGCACCTCTCAAGCTGGAACAATGCACATTTTACTATATTCATCTATGATGCATACAAATGTTGAGCATTTGCTGCTTACAAAAAGTAAACCAATTAACTGCATACATGGTTAATTCCAAGAAGCCGGAATTCAGGCTTGCCAAGTATTAATACCATCTAATTCTCATAATTCCTGCAGGCTTACAGTTAATATATATAGACAGGGAAATAGTTAAGTGCTGTAAATATAGGATTAAAGACAGTTGTGAATGATTTGAAAAATGAGTGCACTTTTTGAGCCACAGTGCTTTAAGAATGCCTGGCACCTAACTTTTGGTAGGCCCATTGACAAAACAAAGTTGGTTTCCTGTTACAATGTAGTCGTTACCCAGGGATTTTTTCTCTCTCCAGGCACCAAACTAGATCTCTACTTCTAGCTGCTAATGGCAGCAAGAAATCAATAATCATTTAATGGAAGTTGAAAGTCTAGTTATTTCTGTTTAACATTAATAAACATGCTCAAAACTCTTTTCCCATATGATTTGTAGGTGGAAACGACTGATCTAACTGCCAACCCTCTCACAGCAATCTTAGTGTTTGCTTTTAATGGCAGAAGTGGTATCTGCCAGTCACTGAGAATAGAAAAGGAACACTATCTTCCTCCCAGTGGTCCTGCTTAAAATCACTGAAAGGAAGATGAAAGGGACTATAGCAGCAATGTACACATAATGGAAATAATTATGTGAAAGCCACTACATTTAACATATTTTGGAAAAAGACATTGCTTGAAAAAATTGGGATTTTTTTACATAACCCCTATTTGGTTTTGTTTTAGGGATGTAGCTGGGGCTTACCTTAATGGGCTTCAGATGATAGCAGTTGCAATATCACTTATTTTTACTATACTTTTCTTAAGACTCAGACTACTTGGATAAAGTAAGATGGTGGGAGGTTTTAAATGACATGGGGAAGAATTCACTAGTCAATATAAAGAAAGAAAATCTCATCTGTTTGGGGCAAAGTTCTGGAAAGTTGTTCAGTATGTATAGTAATAGGTGGTAGAAGAAAATTGTGTTGATTAGGACAAGTAAAATATCCCTTTCCCTTTGAATTTTTTCTCAGACATTTGGAAAAATAAAACAGTCAGAAGGCCAAGGAATGTAAATAAAGTTGGGAGAAGACACTAGGAAGTAAGCTTACATTCTGGGGAGCAAAGGCAGTGTAAGATAAACCATAAAAATGCCTTCCTAAAGTAACTACGTTCATAAAATACTGTTGTCTCAGTACACCATTGTTTTTGTAGTTCTACCCCATTACCCCACTGAATCCACCCACTTTTGATCTCACTATGCTCAACCCAATCATTAGTTAATTATAAGCATATTCTAATTTGTGTAACTCTATATAGAGGAATTGGGTGCTAGTCCCTGTTTCAAATGAGCTCTTGGGGTAATTTGTGAGAGAGATTTCTCCTACATAGAGACACAAAGTTGTTTCCTGAATAACTTTTCAGTAATATGTAATAAAACCAAAGAGAAGAATGCCTCATGGGGACAACAGGAACTCTTTTGAAAGTCCTGAGAGCTGCTAATGCCAACAGCTATGGCTTGTCTCCACTGACATTGCAAGCAAATGAACATTTGAAAAGGAATTAACAAAACTTGTTAACAACGCCCCTCTCTTGTATTTCATTCTTTTAAAACTAGTTCCAAGAAAATCATAATCTGACTAGGATGTGTTATCATGAGTGCCACAAATTTGATATTAACTTGAACCAAAGCAAAACACTGTGTTGGACGCATGCAAAAAACACTCTTTAGGAAGTGGGATGTACAATTTGTATATAACAATTTAGGTAAACATGCCCAATTTTTAAATTTGTATGTATAGGAACTGTTTTGACTGGAGAACATTTAAAGGGGCAATCCCTAATTCATGCAGAAATCCAAGCTCTTTTGCAATGTGTTACCATAGAAACTTCTATTCCTAACTGGGATTACAGAGTGAATGACATTAACTGTCATGGGAACAAGGAATCCAGAACTGAGAATTAGCAACCATATTGTACAGAGAATAGTGCCACTGTACGCAACAAAATCTGAAGCAAAATATTCTATTCAATTTTAATTCTTTGCTTTTGCAGGAACATACATATGAAACTTGCTAGCAAGTTATTCTCACCATCATCAAATGTAACAAGGCTTCATGAAAGAGAAACTGCTTTAAAAGTTACAGGATTCCATAGAATCTAAATACTGACAATGTGAAACATTTATTTAACAATTCAATCTTAAATTGAAAAGTCTCCATATTATATTATGAACAAGTGAAGTAGCAGCAAACAGAAATTCTCACCAAAAAAAGATCTATGGAAATTCAAGCTATTAAAAAATTACACATTTTGCTTAACTCTCGAATTTATTTACAAATTTAAGATATGTTTTATACACCTCAATTTACATATGAGGGCAACCAGAGTTAAAGCAGTTTACAGTAGAAGGAAAACTGAAAAAAGCACTTTGCATAATTAAAATAAATGATTCCCCAAAAGTGCCAAACATGCTGCATTTGCACATCTTTTACGGCTTATTGCTACAAAAGAATACATTTGTAATGGGTCAGCATAGCAGTTTGGTATTCCATTAACGAAATGGACTTGAGGTTCTTCCAAGTTTACTAAATGGAAAAAGCAAAAAAAAAAATTCCATTGAAATTCTGGGATTTGCTGAAAGAAAATGAATTATCTAACAATTCAAAAGAAATTGGACTATCAACTAAGCAGCCAAATGCCTTATCGGCCCTAATCTTAAATCCAATTCATTGCCAACGTTGTCCTATTTTCTCACTAACTGACAGAACTTTCTTTCCTTTTTAGAATGTATAGTGTAGGAGTTAAAGTTGTGGAGAACCATCTACTATTCACTTAACTCCTACAAAACAGTATAATTATTACTAACTAGTCTAAACTGCTAGTCAACCCTACCCTAATCTCAGTTTCTAGAACACGTCTGAATACATCATTTAATATCTAAGCAGCATGTGCTTATAAAATAGTCTAACAATTTTGAAGTTAAAAATTGTATTTTATTTAAAGAAGGGCCAGCCAAGTACACTCTGACTGACTCAAATTGCCATAACCGCCCGCCATTTAAAAAGTCTAACAGGAGACGTAGAGTGCTAAAGTCACATCTCCATAAAATGAAAAACATTTCCCCAATACTACCTCAGAGGAAACAGTGCAGTTCTTCCACCTGTAACAAATATTACCGTTCACTTTCTACATACAGTCAACCAACACACACACACACACCCTCTCTTAAGTTTTAAGGCCTCCAAAATAGATAAACCCTATTATTTATGTGCCCATCAGAGTTCAAACTCCTTGTCCTACTGTATGGAGGTCAACTGGAAGATATAGAGCGCTATCACTACAGTGCCTGCCCTTAAGTTCCTGTAGTATAATAAATTATGCATGAAGGCTTTATAAAACTTTGGTTTAAAAACAGATAGAAGTGTTATTTTCCCACAACCTGTTATGTTCTGCAATTTCAAATGCCTAAAGCCGCAAGAGTGACCCCAGCGGTTTGCAGCTCCTTTTCCTATTCACTCAGACATGCTGGCAGTGAAGATATATCAATTCACTCTTTCGTTTCAGTATTCAGTATTTCTAAACCAGATCAACCCCTGAAACGTTACCTTTATAACCTTGTATCTCCTAGGAAGAGACAAAATTAAGTACAGGTAGTCCTTGCTTACTGACTGCCTTGTTTAGCAACCACTCAAAGTTAGGATGGATGGAAAAAAAAATGGCTTTGTGACCAATCCTTGCATTTATGACCACGTGATCGCCATTTGCGAGCTTCACAACTGGCTTCCAACCAGCAGAATTAATGGAGGATGTGGAAGTGAAATTGCAAGTGGTGATCACGCGATGTCTCGCTTATCAACCTCAGTGATTTGCTTAACGACAGAAGCGGAAGTGATGTAAATCCAGTGCAGTCACATGATTTTTTGCTTAGTGACCATAGCACTTAGCAATGGAATTGCCGGTCCCAGTTGTATTCGGTAAGCGAGGACTATCTGTAAAGGGAACAAAAGCTCACAAGACAAATGGTTTATCCTTAAGAAATGTGATTATTAGCACGCATACATCCGGCAGAAAAGAAAGCTACACCATATAAAGAGACTACTGCTTTGTTGCAAGTAACTGATAGATAGCTTGACAAGGAAGTTATCTCACTTCGAGTTTTTTGCCTTCTAAAACGATCTGAATTTCTTTGGCATCCAAAGTCTCGTAGGTTAATAAAGCTTCTGCTAAATTCTTGTGTTCTTTTGCATGGGCCTTCAAGATACTCTTTGCCCGTTCATATGATTCCTATCACAAAAAGGTAAGTTAAGAAACAGTAGCAACAAAAAACTGGAAATGAAAAAAAAATGTTTTCTAAGATTAACCACTAACAATATTTAATCTACAAATACTTGCTGTTTATTCAAATACACTTCATACAAATAATTAAGGTCCTCCTGAAGTGTGTTTCAACAAAACCAAGAAATACAAGGAACAGAAAGAAAATAAAATATAAACATGCATAAAAAAGAATTTTAAAAAGTAGCAGGGTGCTGGAAACAAGCAAGCTCAGTTACTATAAGTCATTTTTAACTTACTTAAACGAACAGAATCTCAACTTTAATGATCTTTATAAGCAATAAATTAAGCAAGAAGTAGCCACATAACATACTGTTTTAGATCCTGAGCTCTGTTTAATTTCTACAGTAAACCATGTTATATACATTCAATAAAATTAAGGATCTAGAATTATTGGTGTTAGTTTTCAAAGATCCACTAGAGGGAGCAGAAACATTAATGGGAAAATTAAAGGACTTTGGTATATTATAGCAGGTTTTAAGATTAAAAATCAGAAGACAAAGATGTTAACAAAAAATATGAAATGAGAAGACCAAATAGAACTGATGGAAAAAAATGGTTTTAAAATTGAGAAAAAAGTAAAATATTTGGGTATTACTAAAGCAAATATGAATTGTATGTTATTTCAAAATAACTACAGGTAGTCCTTGAGTTACAACTGCAATTGGGACTGCAATTGCCATCGCTAAGCAATGAAATTGTAAAGTGCTATGTCACATGACCGCATCACTTAATGATGGCAATCCAGGCAGTCCTGGTTGTCCTTAACCCAAGACGCATGGGTCATTAAATGGGAAGTGGAGGGAGTCCCAGGTAAGGAGCATGGGGGTGCCACAGAGGGGTGGGGGAGTTCCTGGGAAGCCTGGTGCAAGCCTTGTGCAAGTTGGGGGAGGGGGTGCTCAGTGTGGTGCAAGCTCAGAAAGGCCAGGAAATGAGGGTGTGGGGTGCATGCAATCACAGGGAGGCTGTGGAAAGAGAGCACAGGGTGTGTGGGTGTGATTGCAGGGAGGCCAGGGAAAGAGGGCATGGGGTGTGTGCAAGCAAAGGGGGGAAGCAGGGCACGGTGTGTGTGAGCAAAGAAAGGTGGGGGGAGACTTACCCCCCATGACTTGTGACTTTCCTTGCCAGCTTTCCATTGATTTTGCTTGGGGGAAGCCGGCAGGGAAAGGCACAAATGGTGATCACATGACTGCAGGACACTGCAAACTTGTTGTAAGTGTGAGCTGATTGCCAGGCACCAGAATTTTACTCACATGACCACGGGGGCATTGCAATGGCCAGAGTTTTAAGTCCCTTCATTCAGCACCGCTGTAACTTTGAATGGTCACTGAATGAATGGTTGTAACTCGAGGAGTGCCTGTATGTTAAGACATGTAATGAATTAAGAAGGACATGTTAAGATCGGAGAAATTAAAATTGTTTCTGTTAGGGAGAATTTCTGTTATAAAAATGAATGTTTTGCCTAGAATGATATTTTTGTTTCAGACAATACCTGTTTTGACAACTGGTGTACCACTCAAACAATGGCAAAAAGATATATCTAAATTTGTATGGCAAGGGAAAAAATG